CTTTAAACCACCTATTTGATGAATACTAAAAGGTAAATTTCTATAGATTTCATTTTACTATACCAACCTATCACTTAATAAAGAGGATTAACAAAGATATAAAAAGGTAATAATGGCAATATTAGCGAATATTTAGGTGGTATTAACTATATGTCAGAAATTATTCTAAATAAACACTTTAGTTTAACTCCTTAATCTTCACAACCCCATTAAGACAGAGAAATCATTTATGTATGCCGAAACCAAATTGGCCAAGGGAGCATCGGTCTGCGGACTGAGGGGTCCCAGGTTCGATTCCGGTCAGGGGCATGTACATTGGTTGCGGGCACATCCCCAGGGGGGGGTGTGCAAGAGGCAGCTGGTCGATGTTTCTCTCTCATCGACGTTTCTAGCTCTCTATCCCTCTCTCCTCCTCTCTGTAAAAAATCAATAAAATATATTTTTTTTAAAAAAGAAAAAAAAGATATCATTTATGTTCCTGGTATAAATTAATCTAAGTTTTTGTAAAGCATTATGGCAATATGGACTAAAACTCTAAGCATACATATCCTTTATCCTAGCAATTTCACATCTGGAAATCTATACAACAAAAATAAAAGTATTAATATGTAAACATAAAAATCTACTTGTTGAGCCCTGGCCAGTGGTTCCCATACATGGGTTCAATTTCCAATTAGGCCACATGTCCAGGTTGCAGGTTCCATCCCAGGTGAACTGCATATGGGAGGCAGCCAACTCTCCCATTCCCTCTACAAGCATATCCTCGGGTAAGGATTTAAAGAAAAATAACATCCTCAGGTGAGGAATGGAAAAAAAGATAACTGGATGCCCAGCCAGTGTGGCTCAATGGTTGACCATGAACCAGGTTCTGGTTAGATTCCAGATCAGGGCTCATGCCCAGGTTTCAGTAGGTGGCGTGCAGGAGGCATCATCAATGAAGATTCTCTCACATAGTTGATGTTTCTACCTCCCTCTCCCTTCCTCTCTCTGAAATCAATTTTAAAAAACTACTTGTTGAAAAACTATTTATAATAGCAAAATATTAGAAATAATCTGAGGAAAACGTGTCATAGCCATAATACAGAATTACATTATTTAACAAAATTCATATTTGACTCTGAAAAATGTCTAAAATACAGGGTGAGGAAACGCAGGTTTACAGTTGTACACATGCTAAAGCTTATTCTTATATTACTATTAATTACTGTATTATTTTCTATACCAAGTATAAACCTACATTTGCCCCACTGTGTATAAGTGAAAGAAATGAATTACAAAATACAATATGATCCTTTTTGTTTACACACACACACACACACACACACACACACACACACGAGCACACTATATATATTAGTAGAAATCTAGAAAAAGGTATGCAAGGATAGAGCAAATAACTGAAGGAAACTTAACTCTAACACTTTATAGTGTTTTTATTGTTACAGCAAACGTTTTGGTAAGTCAAAAAAAAAATGTTTGTTTAGGAAACCAATGGCAAAGTTCCTGTACATTACATCTACCAAATTTGTATGTAAGGTTGTATTTTAGTTCTTAAGTGATTTTTAAAAACTACTTTAATATTTTTATTGATTTGAGAGAGAGAAAGGGAGAGGTAGAGACAGAAACATCAGTGGGCTGCCTCCTTCACATCCCCTACTGAGCGCAAAACCCAGGAGTGTGCCTTGACAACTGGTGACCTCCTGATACATTATGCTTAACCACTGGACCACACTGCCTGGGTGGTGAAATCATTTTTAAAGAATACGCTTTTGAAATACACCTGTTTCTCAGATTCACAAATGATTAACAAAATGTAGCTAAATGCCAGATAATGTGTTAGCGGCTGGGTATTGAGCTTTAACAAGACTGTCTTGACTGCAATTCATTATTAATAGATTAGCGTTACCTTCCTTAAATGTATTTAAATGGGAATATTTTGGTGCCTGGAAGTGTGATGTTGGTGTTTCCAAGACTGCTCTTGTAAGAAGGTTCAAACCTGTATTTTTATAAAAATGTATTTGAGCCTTGGCGGGTGTGGCTGAGTGTCCTCCCCTGCACTAAAAGCTTGCCGGTTGGATTCCCAGGCATGGTACATGCTAGCCCCATCCCTAATGAGGGACCTGCAGGAGGCAGCCCATGGATATTTCTCTCTCTCCTTCTCCGTTCCTCTCTAAAAACGAACAAAAAATTATATATTTTTAAATTTTATTTGAGCCAGAGGACAGACAACTGGAAGCAAGATCTCAACAGATTGAGGAAAAATGCTTTATAAGAGACTCCTTTCATAACCACAGCAATTAGACAGGAGGGGAAGTGGTGTAGAAAGTCTGAAGCTTTAATTAACAAATCAGCCTTCTTTTTCTTTATTCTTCTAAGTGCTTTTATAGATTTTAGAGAGCGAGGAAAAGAAAAACATCAGTGTAAGAAACATCAATCCACAGCCTCCTGCACGATCGAGCCTGCGCCCTGACCCGGAATGAACTGGTGACTCTTCCGTGCATGGGATAATGCACAACCGAGCCACATTAGGAATGTGAAGAAATTAATAACCACCCTTCAGAGCAAAAGCTGAACGTAGCATAGTTTCTGGGTGTTGGCAGAGTAATATCTCAAACCTTATGTTTGCAAGAAATTCCTTCCTCTCTGAAGTGAATGTCTTTACATGCCATACAGATCTAAGAGGAGCAACAGGATGATTTAGATTTAAAAAGGAAGGCTGCCCTGGCCCGGGGAGGCTCAGAATGAAGGTTTTGCCCAAGAGGAAGACAACGGATTGAAAAGTATCCCTATGTGCTCAAGAAGTAGATTTCTTCGTCTAACCAAGCAAAGTCCTGGGTGAGTCCTGATTTTTTAGACCTGTGTCTATACTGGTCCCATAATTTTATTACTATTCTAGATGTCGAAACGAACTCCTGGGTCATTCATTAACAATTGTGGACAGCACCCTGATTGGACCGTATTACTGTTAAAGCGAATGCATACAGAATAGCAGAAAATGACCCAATTCCGTTTAATACTCTGAAGCTATATGAAAAAGTGAATGCAAAGACATCTAGAAGGCACCGATTTTATTAAATCCTTTCCTGATTTATGTCGGGCACAACCCCAAGTTTGAGATATCGGGTCCCGGAGCTTGAACCTCAGGTGCTCCCGCTCCCTCGCTTCCGGGCGCCGCCCCGCCCCCACTCACGTGGGACTCGGGCCGCTCCAACGACCTGCCGCGGGCAGACACTAGAACCCGTTCAACTTTTATTAAGTGCCGGCTGTGTGCAAAGCTACGGATTCTGTTAGGCTCCTGCCCTGGGCCTGGTCTCTGCTCGCAGAGAGAGAGGATCTCGGGCCATCCTACATCCCAGGCCTCCCTCCCTTCCAGCTCCTACCTGTGCCCTCCGCTGAGTACCGGCTCCCAGCTTCGCCCAGCAGGCGGGCCATAGGGAAAAGGCCTCGCTCCTGGCACAGAACCAGAGCAGGTCGCGGCCAGCAGGGACCTGGCACCCAGCGGGGGTCTGGTAGCCACCGATCTTTCGACCCGGAATGAAGAGGACTCCCCGGCCCGGGTTCCTCCGCAGAGAGGAGAGGGTCGCAGACCAAAGCAATTGCTGCCTCCCCACCCCCCAGTGCACGCGGCCGTGGCCTGGCCCCCACTTACGGCGTGCAGCGGTCGCTGTACTCATTAGCTATGGTCTCGATGCCGCCGGCGCGCGCCACAGCAACGTAGCAGCTCTGGAAGCCCAGGTCTATGCCCACCACCGACATGGCGCCGGCTACAGCTCGGGCTCGAGCCCGGGTCCGGCCGGCGAAACAGGACACGGACCCCGGCGGGGATGGCGCGCGGAGAGCGGGCCGCGTAGGCCAGGGGACCGGTGCTAGCGAGGGGCGTAGGGGTGCCCACACGAGCGCCTAGGTTCTCTCGGAAACCGAGCCGCTGCGAAGCGTGCTGCTCAGGCCGGCTCCGGCTCAGCGGCCGCAGAGAGGGCGCCGGGTAGCGGGGGCGGAGAAGATCTCGAAAGATCTCGTTGCGACGAGAATGAAGGTGCAGAGCGAGAACTGCGGAGGAAAAAAAAAAATGTTCTCGCGAGATCTCCACTCACGCTCTTCCTCTAGTGATCCCGCCCCCAGTCACGCACAAGCGTACGTCAGGTCCCTGCGTGGAGAACCCAGGAAGGTAAAAAAAAAAAAAAAAAAAAAAAAAAAGATTGAGAGGCGGAGCTAGCCGATTGAAGCCGCGCACGGAATCTGCCGCAGCCGCGCGGTCCACCAAAGCAAACGGCTGGGAGCGCCTCCCCTTCCAAAAGAAAGGAGAGCGGGCTGCAGGCGTGGTACCGAGGAAGTATCTTTGGCCTACTTCCGCCGTTCTCTTTATAGCCAAAGAAACTTCCGGTGGTGGGACCTGCGCTCCAGTGCCGCAGGCTCTCTTACCGCGCTAGGGGTAGGTTGGATCTTACTGGGGAAGGCAGCTCAAAATAAGCCGAGCTGTGTCAAAGTCAAAGACAGCGAGCGCCCTCTCCGGCATAAGGAAGGAATCAACTCTCAACCCCACCGCCTTGTTGTTGTTGTTTTTTTGTTTATATTGTTTATATTAACGCACCGTTCTCTACAGCACTCCTGTCCTTAAGTCAGACCGAAGGACCTACAGGACGTTTATTCCCAGCATATTCCAAGAACCAGTCCTGAGCTGGATGCAAGGGACATAGATGATAAACTACCTGGGTCCGTTAAGACCGGCCAGTAAAGTGGTAGGATTACATAAGGCAATGAATCTTTTTAAAAATATATATATTTTTATTGATTTCAGAGAGGAAGGGAGAGGGGGATGGAATCATCAATGCTGAGAATCATTAATTGGCTGCCTCCTGCACGCCCCCTATTGGGGATCTAGCCCTTGAACAAAATCAAACCCGGGACCCTTTAGTCTGACTGCAGGTCGACTCTGTCCACTGAGCCAAACCGGGGTCATGGGTTGTTTTTTTGTCTTTGTTTTTGTTTTTTGGGTTTTTTTACATTGTTGCAGAATGTCTTCCAGTACCAGCTACTAAGCAAGCAAGGAATGTAACGTGTACCTCTGCCAGACTTGCTTTCCCTCCTGTCTCCGAAGCTGGCAGAATATTAGCCACTCTCCAAACATGATCCAGGGAGGTTGAAACTAATAAATCTTAATTTAAGGTCCTCACTTGCAGGAGCACCTGGGAAAGCAGTGACTTGCTGTTAAGGAGTGTTCCGGGTGTGAAGGGGAAGCCAGCGTGCGATCAGCAATAAGCATGTCTGATAAATTGCTTGATGAGATTCAGAAGAAGGGGAAGCTTAACCTCCAAGTCTCCAGTAATTTGTGGCAATTTCTTGTTCTAAATATTTACTTTTGTGATTCTATTTTTTAGGGCCCCCAACACACAGTTTTGTGTGTGTGTTTTTTTAACTTAGGTTGACCTTGACCTTCCTATTTTTCTCCGACTTAGGGGCATAGCAATCACCTCAAAGACAGTATTGGTCTTAATTACGACAGAATGTCTCCACTAATCTATTCTGCGTTATTAAGCACCGAGGAGAGGCCAGGCCCTAGGTGTCTGGTGTCTAATCCACCTAAAAGATTACTACCTCTGGCTTACCCTGGGTCTCTGCCTTCCTGCTTGTGGGAGGCCTCCCCAGCCTTTAGCTAAACTGGCAAAAAGGCACACCCATCTCTCTCTATGTTCCAAGTTCATATCTATTTGCCTTGGCACTGGTTTCAGTTTAAAATACCATCAACCCTATCAATCTTTTTAAGGATTTGTTCTCAAAATAAAACATTAACATCAGTCACAGGGAGTACTCATCCTGCTATAAATAGTTTCCTGGATCATCAAACTTATAGCTCAAGAGACTATTCTAGGATATTTAAATAAATGAAGTCAGGAAAAGTTATTTAAGAATTGTGAAGAATCTTAATGACAAGTTTCCAAGAATCACAATTGTGAAGCAATGAAATTGCCAAAGTGATGTTGGACACACTATGAATAAAGCACAAGTTCTTTTCATTCAGCAGACTACCCTGAGTATTTTATTTTTTAAAATATATCTTTATTGATTTCAGAGAGGAAGGGAGAGGGAGAGAAAGATAGAAACATCAATGATGAGAGAGAATCATTAACAGCTGCTTCCTGCATGCCCCCTACTAGGGATGGAGCCCGAAACCTGGGATCCTTCAATCTGCAGTTGGCGCTTTATCCACTAAGCCACATGTGTCAAACACAAGGCCCTCGGGCCAAATCCGTCCCGCCAGGCCTTGCAATGTGGCCCGCACCACGCTGTCATCACTGCACTCCACTGCGTTTCCATCACAATGACAGTTTATGACTGTTGAGTAAACCATTCGGCCCGAGATTTAGGCTGGATTTTAGATTTTGGCCCCTTCTCTGATTGAGTTCGACACCCCTACACTAAGCCATACCAGCCACAGCTATCTTGAGTATTTTAGAAGAAGGAAGTTATTAAATGCTTTTCTCTCATACAATGGTTAAATTTGGTACCAAGCAATCAGGAAGGTGTTTGTTTGTTTGTTTGTTTGTTTTAAAAATACAGTATTCATAGGCTGCTGTTTGTTTTAAAAATATATATAGGCTGTTTATCAATGAGACAAAAGGTTCAAAATTGGGAATTTGTAATCATCCCTGCCAAAAGTCCTGTGGAATATACTCTCTGGAGCAGCTTCTGCAATTCTTTGCTTCAGGAAGAAGCTAAAAGCTCAGATAATGGGTATTCTGGTCTCCCTAATCTCATAATCAGTAGACCAGTGGCCTTAGTTAAACCAGAATCCCTCAATGATAATTACCATACCTTACCACACCTATAGCTCGTACAGTATGTGCTAGAATTGTGCTGAGCGATTTGGAGTTCATAATTGATTTAATCTTCATAGAAAGCCCATGAGATAGGTATTATTTTCCAATTTTATAGAGAAAAGTAAGACCTGATGAAATTGAGTAACCTGTTCAAAATCACACAGCTTTAAAAACTCTGACTTCAACATGGGTTTCCTATAGCTACACCACTGCTTTCTTTAAATTCACATTACTTTCAGAGGCTCATTAAAGTAAATACTGGAGGGGGAGAATAAAATTAATAATTCAAATAGAATCATTCACTATTGACATTTTAGAATACCTTCCTTCCTTTCAGTGCTTTTGTTGTATATGATGGTTGAATTTGGTTGTGCCTTTTTTTAACATTAAGTTAAACCAGCCTTTCCCAAACTCTATTCCCCAGGACAGTGTGCCATGAAATATTAATAGGTTAATATTACCATTTTAAAGGCTTGGGGGAGTCCTGTAGAAAATGTTTCACTTTGTTTTAATCATAAATACAAGTATAAATATAAGAAGTATAATTATATAGTTAAGGAGTAGTAGAACACAATTTAGACTACTGATTTTTCCCCTCAAGCATTTTTCTAATCATATGCCCTTTTGATATAAAAACAGTTCACTTCTAACTCCAAATTGGCTGAAATACTAGGGTCCTAACTCACTCTGTCAAACTGACTGCTTACATAGCACCACTGTTACCTCATTCTCCAAAGCCTCAAGTTTTGCCCTTATTCAGGCTGATTACAGATACACACACACACACACACACACACACATATATATATATATACCAGAGGCCCGGTGCATGGAATTCATGCATGGAGGTGGGGTTCCCTCAGCCCAGCTTGGACCCTCTCCAATCCAGGACCCCTCAGGGAATGTCCAACTGCTGCTTTCAGCCTGATCCCTGGGAAACTGGCAGTTGGACATCCCTCTAACAATCAGGGACCGCTGGCTCCTAATTGCTCACCTGCCTGCCTACCTGATCGCCCCTAACTAACTTTGCCTGCCAGCCACCTTGCCCCTAACTGCCCATCCTGCTGTCTTGGTCACCCCCAACTGATCCCCTCCGCCAACCTGGTCACCCCTTAGTGCCCCCCTGCCAGCCTGGTCACCCCTTAGTGCCCCCCTGCCAGCCTGGTTGTCCCCTTCCCCCGCCCTCGCCAGCCTGGTCACCCCTTAGTGCCCCCCTGCCAGCCTGGTCACCCCTTAGTGCCCCCCTGCCAGCCTGGTTGTCCCCTTCCCCCCCCCTCGCCAGCCTGGTCACCCACAACTGTTCTCCCACTGGCCTGGTCGCCCCTCACTATCCCCCCTGCAGGCCTGGTTGCCCTTCACTGCTCTCCCTGCTGACCTGGTCGCCCACAACTGTCGTGCCCCCCCCCCCCCCCCCCCCGCCACTGGCCTGGTTGCTCCTCACTATCCACCCTGCAGGCCTGGTTACCCCTCACTGTCCCTCTCTGCTGGCCTGGTCACCCTTCACTGCTCCCCCTGCCAGCCTTGTCAGCTCCATGCAGCCTGCTGTTCAGTTGTTACTGTAAGGGAGTCATGACCAATTTGCATATTACCCTTTTATTAGTCCCACCCTTTTTCTCCTTATAATCTTTAAATGCTGGATGAACTTCGCCCAGATTTCTCCAAGCCACAGAAGCTGATATGATCATGAAAATTTAACTCCTTAATCAACAAAAATTTCCCTGGCCCGACTCACAACCTCCATATCCATTAGCTCCACCTTCTCCTCAACCAGCCCCAGACACAGCCTTCTTCCACCTCTAGCAGCTGGCATTCTAGCTCCACCCCAAAGTCCTGCCTGTTGGTCTGGTCTGTTGAGAGCAGAAATATGACTCTGATCGGTTCAGCCCAGTTTTACTCTGACTTGTCCTGTTCCAAAGTGTGGAAGGACTCCCAACCACCCCTCCCCCCCCCACCTCCACTCCTTCCTGGTACCTCACCACCTTGCCCGGGTAGCTATCCTGCTATAGTAGCAGTTGCCATCTTGTTTCTACAGATTACAAAGCTTTTTTTTTTTTTTTTTTTTTTACCATCTTTTGTTTTAATTATCTAATTCATCAGGACTCAGAGTACCCTACTCTGGTTTATTTTCAGCTGAAAACAGGTCATTTGTCTCAGGACAATGCTCTTTTCTACATGCTCTAAGACTCAAAGACAATGACTTTAAAAGACCCTGTGGCCTCTGATAATAATTTATCTTTCCTTATTAAAGAGGAGTCTGGGTTTGCATATTTGTAATTTGATAAAGAAACAGTATTATCACGAACAAGTTGATGTGGCATTCTGCCCATACATTACTTCCCAACCAAAGGAGAACCATTTATTTTCTTGCTGACATGTAGTTAGTGTTCAAATGCAATGTGAGTTAAAAATCTAAATATATCACAGATGATTACAGTTGACACTTGAATGCTAGCAGTATAAGCCCTAACTCAGAGGAGATGACTAACATGTTTTCCTGGCAATGGCACAGGAATCCATCCCTAATGCAAAAGGCAGCAGCAGCAAGCTGAAACAAGAGAAGAGGTGATCTGAGCTCACTGGAAGCGTCAGAGTTTCTTTTCCAAACAAGACAAAGACAACTCTGGAAAAGGTGACCAAAAGACATTTCCACTATGAAGATATTTTGATACAGCTATCCCTTGGTATCCAAGGCCCCCACAGATACCTAAAGCCCTTATATAAAATGGTGTAGTGTTTGCATATAACCTATACACATCCTCCTGGGTACTTTAAATCATCTCTAGATTACTTATAATACCTAGTACAATATAATGTAAATGCTGTGTAAATAGTTGTTATACTGTATTCTTCAGGAATTTAGGGGATAATGATTTTTTTAAAAAGGCTGTACATATTCAGGACAATACAGACTCAACCACAATAGTCTTAACTACATAGGCCTAACTACTTAGTATTAGGTCTAGTAATAATTAATGTCATTTTCTAATACTTTTTTAAATCGAATTTATTTAAACAATACAACAAAATTTAATCAACAATATAGTTGCTGTTGTTTTCTACTACTTGTGCCCAACGCTCAGGAAGCATTTTAATCCCTCTGTTGTAAAATTCTTGTGATTTTGATGCAAAAAATTCGGTCAATGCATTTTTGAGGCATTCTTCATTATTAAATTTTTTTCCAAGAAGAAAGTATTGCAAAGAACGAAACAAATGGTAATCAGAAGGGGCAATATCAGGAGAATATGCAGGTTGAGGGAGAACTTCCCATTCCAACTGGCGCAGTTTTTCAGCAGTGATTCTTGCAGTATGCGGTCGTGCGTTATCGTGGTGAATTACGCCCCTCCGATTAATCAGCGCGGGTTCTTTTTCTCTTAAAGCTTGGGCTAACCTTTCCAATTGGGCACTATACACTGCACTTGTAATGGTTTGGTTAGATGGTAAAAGTTCATAATGAAGAAATCCTTTAAAATTCCACCAAACACACAACATCACTTTTTTCGCATGCAAGTCAGGTTTTGGCGTGGGCTGCGGAGCCTCATTTTTGTCCAACCATTGAGGCCACCTTTTCACATTAACATACAGCACCCATTGTTCATCTCCGGTAACAATTTGCTCTAAAAACGGCAAACGGTTTTGACAAGAGAGGAGCGAACTGCAAATTGTGACTCTTTGATTATGGTTGTTGTCGGTCAACTCATGAGGAACCCATTTTCCAAACTTTTGGACTTTGCCAAATGCACGCAATTGATTGGAAATTGTTTTTTGTGAACAATTTAAAGTTGTCGCAAGCTCTTGTTGGGTAATTTGAGGATTTTGCACCAAAAGAGCTTGAAGAGCTTCTTGATCAAAATTGGACACACGGCCTCGACCACTCTTGTCATCTAAGGAAAAATTTCCCTTGCGAAATTTCTCAAACCAAAGCTGGCATTTTCTGGCGCTAACTGCATCTTGACCAAGAGCACTACAGATGTTTTTTGCAGCTTCACTTGCTTTTCTTCCTAATTGGAACTCGTAAAGCATGCAGTGCCGAATATGCTCTTCATCCGCCATCTTCCTAGCCCTAGTTTTGCAACAAAAACCAAACCAAACACAAACTTTTTCAAGCAAAACTTGTTAATTGCACTTCACACATTCTGTAGATACCACGTGTTTGAAGGTTATGTCAATACAAGTCAACGCCAAGCAAGATTTTAAACGAATGTTTAAAAATGACATTAATTATTACTAGACCCGATACATGTCAATAATAACATAACTTTTTAAAAAATATTTTTGATCTGGGTTAGTTGAAGCCATAGATGCAGAACCTGTGGATACAGAGCAGCTGAATGTATTTGGCAGAGAGTAGAAATGTAGTTAAGTCACTTTTCATTTTTTTCTTTGTTTTTAATAAGTCATTTTTCAAAACTGGGTTACTCTCCCTTTAAGAATACTAGTAAATATGAATATATTTTGTGCCATTTCCACGCAAGGCAAGTTTCATTTTGAAGAAAGAAAATTGATCCTGAAGATTCCAACCAGATGGCCTTATTGGGTTGCGCAGCCAGCACCAGTGAGAATATCTTCTTTATTGCAATAGTATCAGCAGATAGCATGAGTAGTCAGGAAGGAGTAGTACATTCATATTTGGCATGTCTATTTTACATCTAAATGAGATGAAATCTAGAGGTCCAAGACGGTCCCCTCTGATCTCTTATAGTCCTTTAGAATGCCAGTGGAGTGCCAAAAATGCCTCCCTAGGGCTTCTGATGTTTTTCCTTAGAGCTTCTGCTCTAAAAGTAAAATCCCCTTCCAAAGTAGGGGGACATGGTGACAATCTGGCATCTCCATGTAAATGAACAGAATAACCACATGATCGAGAGGAAATTCCTGAATGAGCTTCTCCTCCCCCCTCCCACTCAGCATGTACTTTCAGGTTTCTTAGGTGAGTGTCTTCTTCTAAGATTGTCATTGGGGTTTCCTAAATGCAACACAGTTTCACTGCAACATTTGATAATTGCTGGTACTTGTGAAGCAAGGCTGGCCACTTAGCCTTCCTCTGTGAGAAGTGACTTGGCCAAAGGTGTGGTTGCTAGCAAAGCCATCCTATCAGAACTGCAAGAAAGGGCACATTATAATTAAGTAATAATAATTACAACTATGATACTGGTGCTAGAAAGCACAAAGACAGAAATAAAAGTCCAGAAACAAACTCAAGTATGAGAATTTAGCATATGATACTTGGCATTTTTAAAACTAGTGGTGGAGGGGGTGATGTTGGAACATTAGCTATCCATTTTGAGGAAAAATTTAGATCCCTACCTCAAGTCATATACAACAGTATATTTCTATCAAACACTTAAAAGTTTACAAATTAAATTTAAAAAATAAAGCCATGTTCTTCCCCAAAGCAGCCACAGGTGACCTCTGAAAATAGTTTGTTATTTACTAGACCCCCCCAAAAAACACGAAATCATGCAAACCCAGAGGCTCAAATCTCCATGTTCACTTTAAGAACACTCGCAATGTCGAAACCAGTTAGGCTCAGTGGATAGAGCGTCGGCCTGTGGACTGAAGGGTCCCGGGTTTGATTCCAGTGAAGGGCACTTACCTTGATTGCAGGCACATCCCCAGTAGGGGGTGTGCAAGAAGCAGCTGATCGATTATTCTCTCTCATCGATGTTTCTAACTCTCTATTCCTCTCCCTTCCTCTCTGTAAAAAATAAATAAAATATATATTTTTTTAAAAGAACACTCACAAAACTTCCTAGGCCATCATGGGTATGCATATTCAAAAAGCCACCAAGTATCTGAAGGATGTCACTTTAAAGAAGCAATGTGTGCCGTTCCGTCATTACAGTAGTGGAATTGGTAGGTGTGCCCAGGTGTAACAGTCAGTTTTCAGCTCTCAAAAGAAATTTCAATCATTGTACTGTTGATATTTGGCTCTGTTGACTAATGGGTTTGCTGACCACTGCTCTAACCAACTGAGCTACCTGACTAGGACCCCTCAATTATTTTTCTTTAGAGTATTTGTGTTTGTTGGACATTATCTCTTTTTATTATCTGAAGAAAGCTCCACATGTACAACTTTATTCATTCAGTGCTTTATCCTCAGTTCCTAAAACATTTTAGGTGTTGGATAATTATTAATGTGAAAAGTGAATGGGGCCCTGGCTGTTTTGGCTCAGTGGATGGAGCATTGGCCTTCGGACTGTGGGGTCCTGGGTTCGATTCCAGTAGGGGGCACATGCTGGGGTTGTGGGCTCAATCCCCAGTGTGGGGTGGGAGTGGGGTGGAGGAGGCAGCATTCCATGATTCTCTCTCATCATTGATGTTTCGGTCTCTCCCTCTCCCTTCCTCTCTGAAATCTATTTAAAAAATATATTTTTAATAAAAGTGAGACCTCACTTTTATTAAAGAAGCATATATTTCAGAGTTATATGTTTTTAAAAATATAGATTTAAGGTAATAAAATTTCTGTAATCTGACACTAAATGCTAACATAGCCTAAAATAATTATTTGTAGCATCTTTTACCCATTGACAAAGAAGCTTTACTTATATAATGTCATTTAGTCCCTATGAAATACATAAAAATAGAAATAAACATACATTTTCACTTAGTAGTTTGCTAACGTCAGTCTTTCAATTGATGGTCTCCACCCAAGATTGGTTGAATTCGTGGATGCGAAACCTGTGGATAGGCAGGAACTGTACTTATTTTTTTTAATATATATTTTATTGATTTTTACAGAGAGAAAGGGAGAGGGATAGAGAATAGAAACACCCATGAGAGAGAATCACCGATCAGCTGCCTCCTGCACACCTCCTACTGAGGATGTGCCCTCAACCTTGACTGGAATTGAACCTGGAACCCTTCAGTCCGCAGGCCGGCGCTCTAACCACTGAGCAACCAGTTAGGGCACAACTGTATTTATGGAGAAAAATAAATCCGTGTATAAGCGGATCCGTTCAAGGGTCAAAGGTACAAGTACCCACCCTTCAAAACTCTGTTCAGACCAGACCTCCGGCCTCACCCCTCAGACCCAGCTCCCGCCCGCAGCCCAGAGGCAGCGGAGACGGGACTAGCTCCGCCCACGCCGGCGTCCTCTGCGTCCGAAGCCCCGAAGCCCCGCCCCTCCCGAGGAATATCCCAAAATCCAGCGCGGCACACCTCAGCCGCGCTAAGATGGCGACTCCCATGCATCGACTCATAGCCCGGAGACAAGCGTAAGTGAGGGCCCTCGTTGGGTGCGGGGCGGGCTGGGGGCGGGGAGAAGCGCGTCAGCCGGCGGTGGAGCGGCGTCCGCCTGCGTTGCCGGTCTCGGATCCTCGGACGGGCCGGCCGAGGGTGGATGTTTTTCTCACACGGGGCAGCCCCGCTGCTCCGGCGGGGCATCAAGTTTGGCTAGCGATATCGTAGAAGACGGCTGCGTAGGGTCCACCTAGCGGGACCCCGGGCGGGTGGGGGTGAGTGAGTCTGAAGAGAGCCTGGAGTTTGGTTTCCCGGAAGGGGACGCACAGGAGTTGGTCGCTAAGTGGTCTGTGCCCCTTTGCCCACCCAGCCGCCCACCCCTCGCGGGGCCCGGGCAAGCTGAAGGCCTGATCCTGGCTCCCTATCCTCGCAGACGTAAACCTTCTTCAGCTTCCTCTATGCGGCCTCTAGCCTAGCCTGCCCTTCCTGACGCCTTCCCTAGGAACCGTCTGACTACAACGCCGACTTTTCCCCCAAGCTGTCTCACTTTTTTTGCCATTCATTCTATCCAATTAGTATTCATGTATTCACTACCTGTCGCTCTGTGTCAGAATTTGGGTATAAAAGCAAAAGAGGGGTTCAAGACTAACTCCGCTTTCAGGGAGCTTACATTCAAGTAGTGGGAAGAGCCCATAAATTAAACATTTTAAGTAAATACAGTTGGTGATAAGAACTTTGAAGCAAACAACAGGTGGTGGAAAGAGGGAAAGGCCCGGGTTAGGTTGGTTGAACAGGACAGGTCCTTCTGAAGAGGTGAGTCTTGATCTGCAAAGCCTAAAATATTTACTATCTGACCCTTTGTGGACAATTTGCTGACCCAGTCCAAAGCCTTCGCTAAACTCACTCATGAATTCAAACTATTGAAAATATTTTATCTGTAGATCTTTTGGATTTGCCATGTACATAATACATCATCAGTGAGGAATGAAAATTCTATTTCTTCCTTACCCATTCTTTCATCTGCTTCTCTTTGCTTGCTGCATCTTAATCTAATTTCTTAGTCTCCTAGATGTCTAGAAACCAGGCTGCCCTCCTTATATGGTTGGTTTATTCTTAATGGATAGTCCCTCTGAGTCCTAACCAGATACAAACTACAGGGCTGACCACTCTGGATTTCTATTTTCTTCCGTATCTTGGCTTGGTTGTTCTTTACTTTATTGTTCTCTCATGCGTCAAGCAGATTGTTTTAAATGTTTTGATTATCTTTTCTAGTTCTGAGCCCAAGTGTTGTCTTAGTTACCTAGTCTGCCATTGCTGGAATAGAACTGAGGAATGAAGATTTGAGCTAAATTCTGTCTTAAGTTCAAGGTTCATGCTCTTAACCACTTACTATGCTATCTTATGGTTAAACCTAACAAACAATTTAAAATGTAAAATGATGTTTGTTTCTATTTAAAAATAAGCACCATTTTACACATTATATTGTTTATGCTTTTAAATTTAAGAACTGTATTCTGATTTTGCTCTGTAGTGAAGCAAATAAGCAACATGTAAGATGTCAGAAATGCTTGGAATTTGGACATTGGACTTATGAATGCACAGGAAAAAGAAAATACTTACATAGGCCTTCAAGAACAGCAGAACTAAAGAAAGCTTTAAAAGAAAAAGAAAACAGATTATTATTACAACAAAGGTAAGTTTACATGTGATATTTAAAGGAATATTTTTTCCCAAGGGAATATTTTAATTTGTATTTATAGACTTTATTAAGGGCCTAAATGTCTCATGGTCATTATCCAGATTTAGCTTACAATATTAATGAGTTCTTATTATGTGCCAGGCACTATACTAAGCTTTTTAGAAGTATTAGCATATTTAAGCGTCATATTTATAACATAAAGGTAAGTACTATTATTAACCCCTATTTTACGTATGAAGAAACTGAAGCATGGAGAGGTTTAGTAACTTGCTCAGTGTTGTCACACAGCTAGAAAGTAGAAAAGTTAAGTGTTAAACCAACCTGTCTTTTTAGAATCTATGCTCTTAATCATTTTGCTTTATAGCTTCTATCTATGACATGATGACAGAATACACATAATATTATATAAGCTGCTATAAAAAGATATCCAAGGTAAGTATTCAAGATACTTATATTAAGTATATAGAGTAAGTAGAAAGCAGTATCTACACTAATAAAAGAAAAAGATGCAAATTGACTGTACCTCCATTACGCCCACCAGCAAATTAGGAGTGGGTATGCAAATTAACCTGAAAAGATGGTGGCGGCCCTGCCTCCCAGCTGCTCCGAGCCTGTGGGAGTTGGAGAAGTCGGGCACCAGTGCCTGAGGCTAGCTGTGGCTAGGAAGACCAAGAAGTTTCCTGCCCCATGATCCCTGGCCACAGAAGCCGCCTGCCCCATATCCACCCGCCCCATGTCCTAGGGGAGACAGACTTTGTTCTTGGTAAATGATGTGAGGGAACACAGTCTTGAAGTATTAATTGAAATAACTGAACATTTTGGGGACATACAGAAAAAGAAATGGATATTTTAAATTAAAGGTTGCTTTTTATATGAAACTAGAGGCCCAGTGCACGAATTCTTGCACCAGTGGGTCCTTTGGCCCAGCCTGTGGGATCTGGCTAAAACCGGCTCTCTGACATCCCCCAAGGGATCCTGGATTGCAAGAGGGCTCAGGCTAGGCCAAGGGACCCCATTGGTGCACAGTTGGGGCCAGAGAGGGACACAGGAGGTTGACCAGCTGGGGAGGGACTACGGTAAGGCTCCAGGGCATGTCTAGCCCATCTTGCGCAGTCCTGATCGGCCAGACCCCAGCAGCAAGCTAACTTACCAGTCAGAGCATCTGCCCCCCTGGTGGTCAGTGCACATCATAGCAAGTGCTTGAGCGGCTTTAGCATATCATTAGCATATTATGTTTTGATTGGTTGACTGAACAACTGGACACTTGACATATGCTTTTATTATATAGGATGGCCATTTATATTACTCTGGAAACTCAAATTATAAATTACAATTGTTATGGTATTATTTACTTTGTATTGTTGTTCAGGATGTAGTTGGTTTAGTCATATCAACCTACGTTCAAAACTAAAAGAAGAATCAAATTGGTTCATTCAGTCATCTTTACCAACTTAACTGGCTTCTAAGATAAAGTTAATAGATAACATGTTTTGCTTCAGTGCTGGTTATATTGACTATGTACCACATAGAGCCTACAACAGGAAACTTTCCATTTGGTTATAACAAATAATACTGGACTCTGAATACATGTTATGAAAGACAAAGTGTTTCTCCAATATAAAATAATTTTGGGGAGAACAGAAGGGTTGGCCTGAGCTGTGCATAATCAGTCTATTAATAGAAGTTTCTTTTCCCCATGTTTATCAGCATTGGAGAAGCTAATGTAGAAAGAAAGACGAAGAAAAAAAGGTATGTGGCTTCAGGAGTAGTATATAGTTAATATGTAATACTAGTTGGAGGGATAGGAAGAGTGATTTTATTTATTTTTATTTTTAAAAATATATATTTTATTGATTTTTTACAGAGAGGGTGAGGGAAGCTAGAAACGTGGATGAGAGAGAAACATCGACCAGCTGCCTCCTGCACACCCTCCACTGGGGATGCGCCCGCAACCAATGTACATGTCCTTGACTGGAATCAAACCTGGGACCTTTCAGTCCACAGACTGATGCTCTATCCACTAAGCCAAACCGGTTTTGGCAGGAAGAGTGATTTTTAAAATAGTAATTAAAGATTTGAATCTGAAGTTTCTTGTTTGCAGTTTTCTGATATGTTCCTCTCTTTATCTGGAATTTATTGCCTTTATGTCTCCTTTTTTTCTTACTTTCCAGAGTCCTTCTTCCTGGAAATAGTAAATAATTTCTTTTAGTTTAGAATAGGAAATATTATTAAAGTAGTAAGAAATTATTGTCCAACTATTCCTGGTCTGAAGTAATTGAGATTATGAAACAGTTGCCACTTCATGAGGTTTAAATAAAACCATTTGTTATACTGCAACTTTATTCTACTATTATTTATTTGCTGTGGCGCATAATATATTAGGTATATTATACCATCCAAGAGAGTTAAATTACTATAGTAAATGACCTTGCTAAGGGATGGAAGGCAGTATGGTTACAATAGTTAGGCAATTCCAAAAGCAGTAAATGTAGGAATAACATGCTAGCAAAGCTTCAGTTATATACATGTACAGAAATTTACATTTTACTAAATGTTGGCTGCCCATGAATATAACTACTAATTGTCTAATAGGTCTAAGAGTGTAACCAGCTCCAGTAGCAATAGCAGTGACAGTTCAGCCAGTGATTCATCATCAGAGAGTGAAGAAACATCTACCTCATCCTCCTCTGAGGACAGTGATTCTGATGAAAGCTCCTCCAGTTCATCGTCTTCAGCCTCCTCCGCAAGCTCTTCCTCATCCTCTGATTCAGACTCAGATTCCAGCTCTTCCAGTAGTAGTAGCACCAGCACAGATAGCAGCTCCGAAGATGAACCACCAAAAAAGAAACAAAAGAAATAGAATTGCTCTACCTATATTGGACTGATGGACCATAAACTATAGTCTTGATTCTCAAAAGGGAATTTAGAATGTTAAAGCCAAATAGGTTAACTGGCCAAAATTTTGAGAGCTCAGAAGTTTCTAAATGTTTTACATTGTAAGAGCATAAAAAGCATTAATGAAATATATATATATATACACACACACACACACTTTTTTATTTTAAGGGTGAATCTTGTTTTTCTTTTTTATAATTAAAGTATATCTCTAACACTTAATCAGAAGCTGAAATACAATAATTCTGTTTTTGTGGTAAAGCTTATTTTTTGCCCTGGCCCATGTGGCTCAGTTGGTTGAGTGTCATCCCATGCACCAAAAGATTGCTGCTTTGATTCGATCAAGGCACAAAACCAGGCTGCATGCTCAATCCCTGATGGAGGACATGCAGAGGCAGCCTGTCAGTGATTCACTCTCACATCAATGTTTCTCTCCCTCTGCCTTCCTCTTGAAAAAATAAAAATTAAAAAAAAAAATCTTTAGAGTGAAACAAAACTAAAACTTATCTTTTCTCCTTGTGAAAACAATGCTATACATTTTTATATGTTAGTGTTATGTATGAGACATATTTTCAGGATAATGCATCAGAATATCTGGCAGTGAATTTCTGTGTATTATTACGTCAGATTTAATACATTGTTATAAGCTTAGGCATCTTCCTAATGTTGATAAATGTGCTCTATTTTTATGTTTATGTTCAGAAAGTTATTTTGTCTTCTGTCCTAAATGAAAAGTTCAAGAAACCTATTAATATATTTCTACCTTTTTTGATAGTACAAGTTTCAAGTTACTGTGTTGTATCATTTATTTTCTTCTGATTCTTAAAGTTACACTTATCTGAGGAGCATCATTCTAGAGGAACTTAAAAAGGAATAAAAATGTTGAAACTACCGAAGCCGGTTTGGCTCAGCGGTAGAGCATTGGTCTGCGGACTGAAAGGTCTTGGGTTCTATTCCGGTCAAGGGCATGTACATTGGTTGCGGGCACATCCCCGGTAGGGGGTGTGCAGGAGGCAGCTGGTCAATGTTTCTCTCTCATCGACATTTCTAGCTCTCTATCCCTCTCCCTTCCTCTCTAAAAAAATCAATAAAATATATTTTTTTAAAAAATGTTAAAACTACTTAGGAATCTTGGGTGCCTTTGGTAGGTCAGAAAACAGTCATTTAAAAGGCTAACAAGTAGCCAAAACTGGTTTGGCTCAGTGGATAGAGTCTTGGCCTGTGGACTAGAGTCCTGGGTTCGATTCTGTTGCGGGCACATCCCCAGTAGGGGGTGTGCAAGAGGCAGCTGATCGATGATTCTCTCTCATCGAGGTTTCTAACTCTATCCCTCTCTCTTCCTCTCTGTAAAAAATCAATAAATATATTTTAAAAAAATAAAAGGCTAACAAGTAAAAGTGGTATAAATATACACTGAGTGGTCAGATTATTATGGTCTCTGAATATATATATTAGAAGCCTGGTACATGAATTCATGCATGGGTGGTGTCCGGCCAGCCTGGCCAGGGAGAGGAAACATGGGTGGTTGGCCAGCCTGCCTGCTAGTTGAGGGAACAATTTGCATATTACCCTTTTATTATGTAAGATATACACTGAGTGGCCAGATTATTATGCATTCAGAGATCATAACAATCTGGCCACTCAGTGTATTTCTTTGTTAATATGCTATAAAAAGTACCATTCAAAGGAAGGAAGAAAGGTAATTCTTACAGAAAATTAGGGTGATGTTGGTTGCCTTTTATTGAGATTTTTTTTTAAGCTTTCATAAAGATTGCCTTTTACCATTTTTATTATTTTAGTAGGACAGTTTATGTGGTAACTGGTCATATTCAACAATGTACTACATAAATATGGCGGTTAACATAGCACCTACACAAATGAAATCTAGCATGAAAGGTTAAAAAATACTGCCCAATATTTCTTAAATTACTCTGCTGTGGTAAGAGTGTTTAACACCAGATTATTCTGATGTCTTTTAAAAAATTTGGAAAAATACATTTGTAAAGAAACCTTGATTTGTGTTCAATATAGGTTTTTTTTTTTTTTAAAAACTATGAATGTTGCCTTTTTATGTTTTTATGAGAAAGTGAGATAAAATTACTTTGGAAGAAAATGGACTTCGGTTTAAATGTTGAAATATATAAGTTGCGAGTTTAAGGAGCCTACAATTACCTGTAAGTTTTACAGAACCACCTGTTTTTGGTGATTGTAAATAAACTCTCAAAACTTCCTTGAAAGGCTCCATACAGAATGTGTCAATTGACAGGAAATTTTAATAAATTAGTAGTTAAACACATTTTGCAGTGTGGTCTCTTTAAGGGCAATTTCAGCAGTTAACTTGAAAGAAAAATGTGTACATAGGTAACATCACTTGCAATGAAATAAAGCTCAGAGTTTTGCTTACAAGTTTACGCTTCTGTTATTTTTTTGCTGTTTTATTTAATGCCAGTCTTTAGTAAATGTATTCTGTTTCAACTACAACCATTTCAAAAGGAGTCATTAAATCATAGGTTTTCATCCCCAAACATTTTGTTAGTATGATGGTACAATATTGAAATTTTGTCCTGGAATCAAAATAAGGCACTAGGCTACAAGTTAGTATTGGATATGGAAAAAAGTGCACAGAAGGTGTTATGGTTTTATGTATTCTTTTAATTTTTATTTTGAGCCAATTGTAGAAAAGTTGTAAAAATATTACAATTTTCACATATACTTTATCTAGCTTCCCCTAATGCTAGAATTTACATAACCACAGTACAATGATAAGAACCAAGAAATTAATGTGATAAACCAAAAACCTTATTCATATTTCACCAGTTTTCCCACTAATGTCCTTTTCTTGTTACAGAATACTACCCAGAAAATACATTTTCTTTCTTTTTTTCTTTTTTCTTTTTTTAAATATATATATATATTATTTTTTATTTTTTTTATTGATTTTATACAGAGAGGAAGGGGGAGAGATAGAGAGCTAGAAACGTCGACGAGAGAGAAACATCGACCAGCTGCCCCTGCACACCCCCCATGGGGGATGTTCCAGCAACCAACGTACATGCCCTTGACTGCAATCAAACTTGGACCTTTCAGTCCGCAGACCGACAATCTACCACTGAGCCAAACCGGTTTTGGCTAAAAAATATATCTTATTGTTTTTTGTTTTTGTTTTTGTTTTTTACAGAGAGGAAGGGAGAGATACAGAAAGCTAGAAACATCGACCAGCTGCCTCCTGCACACCCCCTACCGGGGATGTGCCCGCAACCAAGGTCCATGCCCTTGACTGGAATCGACCTGGGACCTTTTAGTCCGCCAGCCAACGCTCTATCCACTGAGCCTGTGGACTGAAAGGTCCTGGGTTCAATTCCGGTCAAGAGCATGTACCTTGGTTGCGGGCACATCCTCAGTGGGGGGTATGCAAGTGGCAGCTGGTTGATGACTCTCTCTCATCAATGTTTCTAACTCTCTATCCCTCTCTCTTCCTCTCTGTGAAAAATCAATAAAATATATACTGTATATATAAAAAAATAAACAACATCACATTCTTCCAAATGCAGTTGTGTCCTCAATCCACATCACAAATTTCCTAATGTCAATATATTATTGGTGATGTTGACCTTGATCACTTGATTAAGGTGGCTTCTGTCAGGTTTCTCCATTGTAAAGTTAGTTAATAAACTAGAGGCCAAGTGCATGAAATTGCTTGAGGTTTCCCTCTGCTACTCACAGGCCTGCCCACCTAGTAGCCACGCCCACCCATCCATTGATTGCCCCACCGCACTCGCCCCACCTGCCTGCCGCCCGCCTTGCTACAATCAGAGCCTTGTGGGCTGCAGGGCAGGGACGGAAAGGTATTCAATGCACGCCGTGGTGACCGGTCATTTGGTCATCCTGGATGTCACGACACTGGCTAGATAGATAGATACCTTGGGGGAGATACTTTGAGATTATGCAAATTGTTTCTCCTTACACTCATCCACTTAGTTTTAGATGATGTTGTCTATGACAGTTATTTGGGGGAGAGGGGTTGCTAATTTTTTAAATAATTTTTTATTTTTCAATTACAGTTGACATACATTATATTAGTTTCAGGTGTACAACCCAGTAATTAGACATTTCTATAACCTATGAAGTTATCACTTTGATAAATTTAGTATCCATATGGCATAGTAAATACAATATTATTGAGTATATTCCCTATGCTGTACTTTATATCTCCATGACTATTTTGTGACCACCAATTTGTATTTCTTTATCTCCAGCTCCCCATCCCCCCGCCCCTCAAGCAACTGTCACAATGTTCTCTGTATCCATGAGTATGAGTTATTACTGTGATGTTTTGCCAATGGTGATTTTCTATTTTCTTCTTCTACACTAATTGGAATTTTATACAAAAGAGCTATTTTGTCTCCACATATTTATTTAATTAATTACTTATAGTATGGACGCATGGATTTTATTAGTTATATGGGTTAGAATCCAATAATACCATTATTTACTTTGTTGCTCAAATTGTCCCACCTTTGGCTACCAGGAGAGCTCCTTCAGGTTGGCTCCTTTGTTCTTTTAGTACATCCTCTTTTAAAAACACACATACACATTTTCTTATTTCCACATTCTTTTTTTCTTTCTTTCTTTTTTTTTTACAGAGAGGTAGGGAGACGTGCCTGCAACCAAGGTACGTGCCCTTGACTGGAATCGAATCCAGGGCCCTTCAGTCCACAGACTGATGCTCTCTTCACTGAGCCAAACCGGTTTCGGCCCACACACACATTTTCTTACTTTTTGAGATAACAAGGTGTCCCAGATTCATCTTCCCTCCGTGCCCCATTTTTTGAACCAACCACTTCTCCAAGGGACCTGCCCTGATTTTATTTATTTATTTATTTATTTTTAATATATTTTATTGACTTTGTACAGAGAAGAAGGGAGAGAGATAGAGAGTTAGAAACATCGATGAGAGAGAGTCATCGATCAGCTGCCTCTTGCACACCCCCCACTGGGGATATGCCCGCAACCAAGCCCTTGACCGGAATCGAACCCGGGTCCCTTCAGTCCCCAAGCCGACGCTCTATCCATTGAGCCAAATCGGTTTCGGCATAATTTTAAATTGAAGAATAGTATTTAGAATCTAAGATATGAGTGCTGTCAGTATGTTCAATATATATATATATATATATATATATATATATATATATATATATATATATATATATTGATTTCAGAGAGGAAGGGAGAGGGAGAGATAGATAAAAATACCAATGATGAGAAACAATCATCCATTGGCTGCCTCCTGCACAACCCCCACTGGGGATTGAGCCCGCAACCATGAAATGTGCCCTGATGGGAATATAAGCATGACCTCCTAATTCATAGATCAATGCTCAACTGCTGAGCCACTTGGCTGGGCCTTAGTATGTTTTTTACACATTTCGACTGATAGTGTTCTAAGATGGTTAGATAAGGTGTAGAGTTTTGCCATTTTCTGTAAGAAATCAGGTGTCATCCCTTCAGCATTTCTCATATTTGCTTTCTTTGCTTTTATATCACTAGATTCTTCCTCAGGAGCAATACTTTCTTTGACAAATGATGGAAGAGGGAAAATCTTCAATTAAAAATTGTCATTACTGCCTTCTTCCCTCACTCTACAATATATGTAAATTCAGACATAGGACAAATATCCATTTTCTGACACCAGGCTGTGTTCTGTTTTTGTTTTGTTTTGTTTTTTTGTTTGTTTTTTTATATATTTTATTGATTTTTTTACAGAGAGGAAAAGAGAGGGATAGAGAG